CGTCTTTATGTGACGAATCCTGAGGTCTGTCCCGACGACTCCTCGCTGAAGAGTCGTGTCGTTGGAAACGCCTCGGGGTAATTCTGTAGTTCGCTTTACCCACAAGTTCTGCTGTGAACTCTGGGAAATACTGCAGAACATGAAGCAAAGGCAGGGTTCCTCCATGGGTGGACCAAAGTAAATTGTTTTATGTTGTGAAATTGTTCATTTAACAGGAAGTGGTTTGTTTTGTGTTTTAGGTCGGATGCATCCGATGACTTCCTTGTGGACTCGGTTAAATCCTGGAGTTGCGCTTGACTCGCAGTAAGTGTGTCCTCATGTCCAACGTGGATGCAGCGCTGTGGTGTCTGCAGCCAGCTGCTCCTTCAGCTGGTCTGTGCTGAAGAACCTCGGCATCGGGCATCGTTTGTCTCCTTGTCCGTGTTTGGAGTCCCGGTCATTTTCCTGAAACGCTGACGTTTAATCTGTTTTACCAAACGGCTGCCAGCCAGGTGAAGAGCGAGTTGTGGATGTTCGATTCCCTGTCGCTCTCTGCTAAAAGTAAAATGGAGCCGTTTGGTTCCTCACAGAATAATTTTACTCACTCCAGCGGGTGTGACCCTGAATATGAGCATATGGTTTGTTTGCTACAGGAATGAACAGTTTTATGGAGCAGTTGTCTTGTTTATGGTGTTCTGGTTAATATCGTTCACCTCCCGAGTCACGAAACTGGGTGGGATGGCGTCACAGGGTCGGCCCTCAAATGGTTTAGATCAGGGGTGTCAAACTCACGTACAAAAGGGGGCCAAAACTAAGGTCCAATTTCAGAATCTACATTAACTCAAGTTAGATACCCGACATGTTTTCTTGGTCACAAGTTCCTCAGTAAGAGTTTGATTGGTCTCATTTGATGTTCTCTGTTGTGCTTTCAACATCATAATCCAAGATTATGGAAAATTTCAAGATATGGAAGTATTTTGTTTCACATATTATCTTGGGGGCCAGATGTCAACTCTGACAGAACCTTTTCTGTCAACATCAAAGATTTTAGTTCAGCATCGGCAGCGCTTTGATGGGGGCGTACCGCAGGGGTCCATCCTCGGTCCTCTTCTCTTTTCTTTATACCTGCTGCCAATAGGTGCCTTTTTTCGTAAACGTGGCATACCCCTTCATTTCTGCGCCGATGACTTGTCAAATCTACTTCCCTCTGAAACACATTAGTGCACATTCTGTTCAACCTCTTCTTGCCTGCCTGGCCCGCAGCGCTCTGAGGTCAGCAGATCAGATGCTGCTGTTGGTTCCAGGGACCCGTCTTAAGCTCAGAGCTGACGGGGCCTTCTCTGTTGCTCTCTCACTTAAAAACTCACTTTTATTCTCTGGCTTTTGACACTAATTTGTTTTTAACCTTTTTGTATTGTACAGTGTTAGTCATTTATCTTTTTCGTTTTGGATCTATGTATATTTTACTGTCCTTTACTTGTTTTCTGCTGTACAGCCCTTTGGTTGACCTTGGTGCTCGAAGTGTTCTATAAATATAATGATTAGGTGCAGTTTAGTTCTAACCTGTTAAACTTGATTTGATTCGAGGTTTTTAATTATATTTGGTTCATCTTGACTTTAGTGCACACCTCGAGCACGCACATCTGGAGCCCAGATTTTCTCAACAGTCATCTTAAATTCTCAAGTTGTTTTTTTGCAACAAAAATGTTTTTGTCGTGAATTTAAGGAATTTGTTAACTTTGCATATATCAAGCTAAAATGTCTGCATCTTTTTTTTGTATTATTTCCAGGTGGTGAGTGTGTCTGCAGAGTGTCAGCAGCTGATGTTTGTGGTAAGTTATTTGTTGTTGGTGAATGCAGCAGCACTGATGTATCTGCAGCCAGCTGCTCATCGGCTGGTTTGTTCAAATGCCGGTGCTAAAGAACGTCAGCATCCGACATCGTTGGTCTCCCTTCTGTCCGTGTTCGGAGTCCCCGTAAACGAGCTGAAACATGCATTTAAACATTTTGTTTAAGGTTAATTAATGAATAGGAGCATATAACGGTCAGCTTGGTGTCATCACAGCTACATTTGAGACGAGATGAAACGTTAAAATAAGTGAATGTGCTGCAGCTTGAATGTTGGAGTGGAAACGTCCCAATTCTCTTGTTTCTGCTGCTGCAGAGACGACGACCTGACCCGAAGCTTCTGCAGGAAGATGACAGAAGAAATGCCTGCAGGTGACTGGATTAATAATCTGAGAATAATTAATAGCTGGATTAATAATCTGAGAATCCATGTTGTTGAAGTCCAGAGTGAAGTTTCCACAGTCAGTGATGGTTTGGGTCCATGTCCTTTGCTGGTTCTGGTCCTCGGGTGTTTCTGAAGTCCAGTCCATGCAGCATCTCGCAGGTCATTTTAGAACTAGAGCTTCATGGAGACGCTGATTTAATCTCCCAGCAGGACTCGGCACCGACCCACACTGACGGAGGCACCAACATCTGGCTGTGGAAGGTTCTGAGTCTCTGCGATGCACCTGTAGAGTTCTGGACTCGTGTTCAGGGCCTTAGTTTGTCTAGAACTGCACGTTTCATGCCAAGTTTATTTTATAAATGATCAGCATGACGATGGGAATGTTGCCATCTGGAGTGTGGCAGTTTTTTTTCTGCCCGTTTGGGTTGTGGGTGTGGTCACATACCAAAGCTGTCAGGATTCTCCGTTCCTGAGCTGCTGTGGACGTGACCAAAAATCAGAAACCACCTCAGTGGGTCTCTGGCGGCATTCGCCTCTGCAGCAGCGTTTGTAAAAGGACCCGCGGGGAACACGACGCCCCCAGCTGCCACCTTTATTTTTATGACCCGCATCTGTGGAAACGATCGTCTGTAACATTTTAGATATGAACGCTGAAAAATAAGTTAAAACTTGTTTGTTTTCAGGAACTGCGGATTGAAGGTCGACCATCAGAGAAAGGTTGGAGCTGATGTTCACGGTCCTCAGCTTTGAACTTAAACAATTATTCACTGTAAACAGATGTTTGTCTTAATAAAATGCCAGAACTGATCATATTTGACTCATTTGTACACTTCACAGCTTCTTGTTCGGGGGAGGGGGGTACTATGATGTTTGTTTTTTTGTGAAGCGTTCACAAAAATAAATATCGCACTATTGTTTTCCTGTTTCAACTATTCCGTACATTTTTCAGCATCTTGTCCCACTTTGTGCCACTTGAACAAATCAAAACATTCGGCTCTTTCAGGACGATCTTGCTGTGACTTAATATTTGTGCAACTTTAGCTTTTTGAAATATTTGACCTCTTCTACTATTTGTTGCCTCCTTGTAAATGAATTGAGCTAATTTTACATCCTGCGTAATGTTTGATCTGTTTACAACCTTTTGCTGCTCCTTTCAGTTTTTTCAGCTTCCTTGTACCATATTAAAATTATTTATTATATAATATATATTATATTATATAAAAAAAAAAAAACTGATACTTTCAGTTAATTTCAGCAGGTTTTTTTTTTTTTTTTCCAAAAAAAAACTTTTGTGCACCTTTTTAACTTTATTCAGCCTAGTCCAAGAAGTTTGTGCTTCTGACTTATTTCTGCTAAAATTATTTAAGACAAAAAGATGAAGTCGGGTCCGATGGACAAATTTCTGTTTTAACATTTTGTCTTTTGTCCAAAAGACTTGATTAGTCCGAGGCCAGCCAGCATCTTTGTGTTTCAAGCCGTCCCTCTGGAATCTAATAAAACTAACCACGTGCAAAGGGACCAGCTGTCCGAACAATCGTCACGCATGACGTATGTTTAGGTCACATGACCTGAATAACGAAGATGGTTTAGAAAAATAAAAATGTACGCTCAATCATCCAGGTAGAATAAATCCCTAATTGTTAAATCATGTAATCTGTTCAAGATTCTTAAAGGGAGAAACGTTTCGTCTTTCATCTGAAAGAAACTTGTCCAGATGACATGATTTAACCTTTTTGTTCGTTTCTTGCCTGGATGATTGAGCTACAAACCTTTGTTCACTGAACAATCATCGTTTGGTTCTCCGTTAAAAGATGAAGACTAAATGTAATTTAAAAGAAAAATCCGACTCGATCAATAAAATCGATTAAACACTTTTCAATTTGCGCTTGTCTTATTTTTAATAAAATATCTTAAATGTTTTCTACGTGATCGTGACAAACTTTTGATTTATTTCGTCACTTCCTGTTTTTGTTTACTTCCGCCCTAATCGAGGGGCGTGTCTTCCTTGACCAACATGGCGGCCGTGTTTTCTGTTTGCTGGAAGTTGTGACGTTTTTCAATCCTTTTAGCGTCTAATTAGGTTAGAAGATAATCCCGTGTTTACGTTTGTGTGGAGCAAATGCTTTTGTTGAGACTTCAGTTAGGTCTTGTTAAATCTTTGTTAAAGAGTTAAACGTTTTTTACGTTTAGCAGCTGATTTGGACGCCGCCTCCTCACGTACGTAAATAGCAGCTTGGTTAACACGTCACTAACTAACGATAAATATTTACGTTCACTTGAAACAACTCGAGCAGGTTTGTTTTTCTCACCTGATTCAAGAAGACATTTAAATGAGTAGAACAAACGGTTCCGTGGTCCTTGATGAAATGTTGCTGATGAACTGAGAATAAAAGGTGTTTGTGCAGAGGTCGGTACCGGAAGCGTGCAGGTCTGTGTGTGACCCTGAGGATCAGGATCAACTCTAAACCCCCACCCAGAAATACATTCATACTATAAATGAACCTGTCTTCATTTGTTGTCCTCACTATTTAACCATTCTCCTCAGGAACTGAACGCCTAACTCAAGGGATGAGTCCGTGCTCTCACGCGAGTCTTCCTTCAGATTTTCCATTGCAGTTCATGCAGGAAATAAATAAAACCCTGCACTGGATTACATGTTTAATGAGACAAATTACTTTCTTTTTTAAATATAATCCAAGGTGATGCGCTCATAGTCTGGCCCCTGAGCACGTTTTGTTGGTGACTCCAGCTGTTGGATGGGACAAAGACAAAAGTTCTGGACTTTTACTCAGTGGTTGGAGAAGTTTCGCATCCAATGCAGAATCGTCTCGCTCCTGTTCTGCACGAGTGGGTTTAATCTGCATGTGAACTGAAATGATTCAATTCGATTTATTGATATAGCGCCAAGTCACAACTGAAGTCATCTCAGAGCACTGAACAGAAACATTGAAAATTGAAAACGAAATACAAAATGTCTTCACCTAGAGAATAACGGACGTGGAGGTAGGACTGTCACGATAACAAATTTTGCGGGGCGATTAATTGTCTTAGAAATTATTGCGATAAATGATGTTTGAAATTTGACAATAATTAGTAATTGTCAAATTTAAGAAGAAATGTTGGTTAATTTTGTGTGTAGTACCTTTTTTTCGACCACCGGATGGCAGTGTAAGATTGAACTGAAGGATGGATAGTGAGGGAGCGAGCGGCGTGTCTTTTTAAGAAAAATAAGACGGAGGCCCCTTGACGTGACGTGGGCTGTGTCAAAGCTTTTAATAAAAAATAAACAAGTTCTCAACTTCTTTTTGCAGAAAACAACTTGTTACACGAAGGCACGAGTTTCAACTGTGAATTTTGGAGCTTCGACAAGACGGAGGTTTTTTTCCTGACGTCGGCCTGTTAGCTTAGCTGCATTTAACGATCCAAAAACGCCATTTTGGACGATTAATATGTATTTTAAAGAGAAAGGGAGGGGTCAGTGAAGAGCACCGGAGTTGAGCTTTTTATCATCCAGTGTCTTCAGTAGAAAGAGAGAGACACGAAGAAACGATAAAGCTGATAAATGAAAATGAGTTTGATCATTTTCATTTATCATGTGATTAATTGATTGTTTATCGCGACAGGCCTACGTTGAGGTGCAATGTCACACTACCACAGCTACAGCGGTCGGTACCAGAACCATGACAGAGTGTCTGTGGCCCGGAGGATCAGGATCAACTCCAAACTCTCCCACCCTGAAATCCATCCAGGCAGAACTTCAGTTAAAAGTCTAGCTACAGAGTCACACAGGCGAGGGCTTGGTTTGTATCAATTTGAAATATTTTCCACGTGGCAATCCCTTCTCAAAGGCATCGTCTCATTCACGTTCAGTCTTTTAAGCCAGAGAAAGACGATGTCAAATGAGAGCGTGGTGGCCGACATCGTCGTCCCACGTCTCGCAGCTGAAGCATCATCACAAGCAAAGGCCGTCTTCATCAGATGTGCTCAAAAGGAAGCGTACCAAGCTGCACTATGGGAAAAGGTTATTCCTAAAAACAGTCTCTTGAGGAAGCTCAACCCCGTCCTTTAACAAGACACAGCTCTCATGGAGAGGAGGGAGACTCCAGCATGCTCCTTTGGATGCAGAGGAGAAACCCACATGGTCTACATCGTGCTGAGCGAAGCTCGCCGGCTCATTTCAGCTGCGATCGTACCATCACTGAGTGGCTGCAGAATCCGATTCACATCACTGCACCACACATCCTAAAACTAATTCACCGTGTTTTTGCATCTCTTCAGATTTTTGGTTTTTATGTGTAGCTCTCACTAGCACCGTGGCTTCTTTCATCACTTGCCCAGTGTCAGATGTTATTCCACTGCTTCCTTCACCTTGTCTGGTTTTGTTGAAACAGGTCTCTTGAAAATGAGTCCGCGTGACTCACTGAGACTAACCTGCATAAATAAAGACTGAACGAACGGCCCAGTTGTTTAGTTTTTTTTACTTTGTATATCGCTCACCAGGTTTTCAACTTCTTTGGAATCATGTTACAAAAGCATCGTTTTGTGATTGATAATCTGTGTTAATCTGTAGTTTCATGTCAGACTGAGCGAAGTCAGTTCGTTTCTTTCTCTTTAAACCGAAGGAGGAAGAACGTTTCCAGGAGCGGGTCCAGACTGTGGACATCGAGTCTTCATCTTTGAAACGCTGAACTAAAACTCGAGCTCGTCTTCTTGTTCCAACAGTTTACTTCCTGCTGACGTCTGCTTTTGTGCAACAAGTTGATTTTTATTAGTTTGATGAGCTCTGCTCAGTCTGTGGTACTAAAATAGCTCAGATGAGTCGCCCGTCAAGTCTCAACGTGCCTCTCCTGTAATTTTAAGTTTATAGTCCGAATACACTCAGGACATTATAGAAGTTAACTCTGAAGTAGATTATAGTAATGACCCGTTTTAATGTTTAAACGTCTCATTTCTTCCAGTTTCACAGAGACATGTCCTCCCCAGAAATCTCCTCCCTCTCCTGGGGCCTCATGAAGGTGAAGGGAAGCACCTCCTGCTACAAGGACTGTAAGGTCTGGCCCGGGGGGAGCCGGGGCTGGGACTGGACAGAGACCGGGACTAACGTGAGTAAACCAGAACCGGGGTACGGACCGATGCATGCAGTAAACTCTGTGACGTTGAACCCCTCCCCTCTGCAGCACTACCCAGGAGTTCAACCTGCGGACCTGGAGGAGGTGCTGAAGAAAGGAGTAGACCTACTGGTCATTGGGAGAGGCATGAACGAGGCTCTGCAGGTACGACAGTAACAAGAACAACCGTTCCTACAAACTTAATTTAAAACACAGACATACTGGAGCAACTGTTCTACTAGACCGCTGAGCGGAGGAGCTGCACGTTTGCTGAAATTTGTTGAAGCCTTAAATGTTAAAGTTACAACAAGCTAAAACCGGTAAAAGCTAGATGTAGCAAAAGAGTAGCTATAAAGCTAAAATTAGCAAAACTGTAATTTAAAGCTTAAATTGGCTAAACTAGCTACAAGCAGCATAAGAAGATACAAATAATAATAAAGTCTACAGTGACGAGGAGTTCAGAGAAAATATATTTGGAGGTCTGAAGGGATTTATTGGGATTATTTCAGTGAATTGTTGCCGTTTTTGATTTCACGGTGGCTGGAAGTTTTAGTGTTCAGATTTGTTCCATTTATCTTTTTTATTTTATGCCGTCTCAATTAAAAAAAGATTTTATGTAAAACACAACAAAATTAAAAACCTTAAAATATTGTGTACAAATGTACCGAAGTGCTAATTTAAGATCCAACACCTGCAATTTACAGAAATCTTTTCGTCTCCCGTGCGTGAAATCAGTTTGTGATTTAATGAGCGCTTGTTGTTGCAGGTTTCAGTCGGTAAACAAAGCGAGCAGCACTCCTAACGGGTTCAGGAGAAAGTTCTGGAGATGTTCAGATCAGGGTTGGGTTCTAACAGCACTAGCATGCTAAGCTAACGTGCAGCTCCATTTTCAGGCACGAATAAAAACGTCTGAGTCCAAGCTGAACTTTACGTCTGCGTGGTTCAAACCCCGAGGACTCTGTACCCACAGTGAAGCACGGTGGTGGCAGTGTGTTGTTGTGGGACAAATACTGCAGAGTACAGAAGAACTGAAACATTTTTAGTTCAGGTTCGCCTTCATGGTGACGATGGTCTGCAACTGGAACCAGGTTTAAGGGTGTAAATGGTTTTAAATGTTCTGAACTGGTGAACAGAGCGGGTCATCTGTGGGTCGTGTTCACACGGAGCGGAGAACCGGATCAGGCTGACGCTCTCTCTCCCGTCATCTCTCAGGTTCCTTCTTCCACTCTGGACTTCGTGAAGCGGAAAGGCGTCGAGGTCCGGGTCCTTCAGACTGAGAAGGCCGTGGCTGAATACAACAAACTGGCTGTCCAGGGCGCCAAAGTGGGCGGGGTTTTCCACTCCACCTGCTGATGCGTCTCCTTTAGATGAAATGCTGAATCTGCACCTCCTGCGGGTTCAGCCTAGACGTCCCCCTCTCTGCTGCAGAGACCTTTAGGAGAACCTGCAGTCTGGTTTGGTGCAGATCCTCAACTTCCTCAGGATCTGGTTTCCTCTTCCTGCAGCACTTCAGAGTTTAACACCTGCACGGTTTGAAGACTTTCTACTCAGGACGGTCGAATCTGACATTTGTAGGTTTTATAACGAGGTTGTTCAATCTGAAGCAGGATTTGATTAATCCAAGGTTTAAATGCTAATTTTAGATTAAAGTTGCATCTATGTGACAGTTTTATAGGAAGAGGTTTCTCCGTCTAATGAGTTCGTGTTTAACTGTAAAGTACAAAAAGCTTCTTTTTTTTAAATAAAACAATAAATTATTGTTTTGTCTGAAAATGTTTTGAAAGTGTCGTCTCTGATTTAGAAGTCCGTTAACGTCGGGCAGGTTTGGGCATGATGAAGACTTTAACGGGTTTGCTGAACGGAATCGTTCCCTCGACGGCGGGCGCTGCTGGTGGGGGGCTGTCGATGCTGTCGCTCCACCCCAGCCTGTTGGGAGGAGGAGAGGGGGAGGAGTAGGCCAGCAGGAGGCGCACCTCCACCTGTGACGGCTCTGAGAAACAAACAAGATTTCATGTCAGAAACTCAGATTTCCACGTTTGAAGCCGACGTGCGTGTCAGACTGACCCGTCCACGCCGTGTGGGACAAGTACACCTGTGAGATGAGTCTGTGTCGGTCGGGCCCGGGCTTCCTGAAGTCTCCAGGTTTGGGGTGGATCACATGACTCTGACCATCCGGGTACAGAATCTGCAGCCAGCGAGTAAAAAAAATGGAAGTGAAGACCTGAATCAGATCAACGGACTCGCATCTTCTTTTATCCTCACAATGTTTTTATTTACAAGAGAAACAGTCAAATGTTTACCAAAAGTTTTAAAATGAAATATTTTACTGCAAATGTTCCTTTATCGTCATTTAGTTGTGAAGTTCAGTTCTGATTGTACTCAGAGGCAGGTGTGGAAGTAAACTGATCCCAGATCAGTTGTCCTGCTGTCCCTCCTCTGGACATGTCCAAACCACTGTCCCTCCTCTGGACATGTCCAAACCACTGTCCCTCCTCTGGACATGTCCAAACCACTGTCCCTCCTCTGGACATGTCCAAACCACTGTCCCTCCTCTGAACATGTCCAAACCACTGTACCTCCTCTGAACATGTCCAAACCACTGTCCCTCCTCTGGACATGTCCAAACCACTGTACCTCCTCTGAACATGTCCAAACCACTGTCCCTCCTCTGGACATGTCCAAACCACTGTCCCTCCTCTGGACATGTCCAAACCACTGACCCTCCTCTGGACATGTCCAAACCACTGTCCCTCCTCTGGACATGTCCAAACCACTGTCCCTCCTCTGAACATGTCCAAACCACTGTCCCTCCTCTGGACATGTCCAAACCACTGTCCCTCCTCTGGACTCCCAGTACTCAGCTCCCTTCGTCAGGGGTTCCCACAGGAAGTGAAAGGAAGTTGACCTTCCTGACGCAGTGTGAACTCAAACCGGCAGCCTCAGGATCACAAGGCTATGACACTTAACCACTGAGCAGCCTCATCAAGTATTAAACATACGGCACGTTCTACAGCGAGCTGAAGCAATGGACTGGACCTGTTTGAACTGTGACCTTGATTTGTGACCTTGAAGCTGCGGTGATGAAAAGGTGAGCGACACTCCGTTTGTTGGTGATCTTTATGTGCATGAAGTGTCATTAAATTATTGAGTGGACCAGAAGTTCTGGGCGGGACAGGTGTGTGTAAGGTTTCAAACCAGCGGCACGTTGAGGCTGACCTGCACTTTGATGGTGTTCTGGGGGTCCTGGACGTGCTCCAGCGTCGCGTCGATGTCGAGCGCCACCACCAGGCCGGTGGTGAACCTCAGCGGGTTGTCGGACTCCCCCGTGGGCTCTATGATGGTGGCTGTCGCTCGGTGGATCTGTTCCGGAACAAGACGGGGTGAAGCTGCAGTTCTGTGTAAAAACAAGCTTAATGGATGCGCTCGTCCACCTGCTCGGGCAGTCTGAGCTGCAGAGGGCCGCTCTGTCTCAGGGTCGCCTGGAGGATCTTCACCAGTTCTGCAGGTTTGCAGGACGACAGCCGAGGCATCAGCTCCAAAAGTTTATCCACAAAACTGTCCTGGAGGTGCGGCAGCTCCGGCAGGAACAGCCTGAAGGAACACGTCCGGGCCCAGAGTTCAGAGTCTGCTTAAACATCACCGAGGACAAAATGTCCTTAAACATCACCGAGGACA